GCAGAAGAGGTTTAAACACAAATGCATTCTTATCGATCACGCTGAATCTCGTGCTGATGGTTATTTTTCGATAAAAAATTGATGGGATATCATATCATATTATTGATGGGCGTTTTTTATTAACGTGAGTTTTTTCACTACATTTTTCCTTTATCTATGGTTTTACCTTTAGTTTTGTTGCTTTTATTTGAGTTAGGGATGATTAAGATTTGTGTTAACGAGGAGTCAACTGTTTTTGAATGTGGGTTTGACTCATATAATGTAAGGTGGATCCCTATTTCATTGTGATTCTATGGGTTTTGTACTTTATTTTTAAGTTTAGTTTTAGAGTTGATGATTGTTAGTTGCGTACCTTTGGTAGTGTTTATGGTTATAGTTGGGTTCTATGGAATTACGACAAAAAGAATTTCGCCATCTGAATTTCGACAATGTTCAAATTCTAGTAGAATTTTGAAACATGTCGAAATTCTACTTGAATTTGGACAACGTTGACGAATTTCTACAATTGTCAAAATTCTTATGGAAGTACGACAGAATTCTTTTTTGCTGGGAATTTTGTTGTCCATTTTCCATCAGAATTTGGACAGCGTGTGTGATTTAAGATGTGACAATAAAATGTCCAGCAAAACAAAAAAAATTCTGTCGTAATTCCATAAGGGTATCAACAATTGTAGAAATTCGACAATGTTGTCCAACCTCTAGTAGAATTTCGAAACATGTCGAAATTCTAGAACAATTTGGACATTGTCGAAATTCAGATGGCGAAATTCTTTTTGTCGAAATACCATTTTACCTTATGGAGCCTGGGGAGCTTGAGATGGGTAAAATAGTATCAGAGTGAGGCAGCAGCTCTTCCCGGTTCTGTACTACTAGGTGGCCATGCTTCTTTGATTTGTTTTTTCCATCAAACCGCTTAATATTATATTTGTTGATTTAAGATTGCAATTCTCGATTTAAAAATATTAGTGTTTCTTATTGTAGAACGGCTGAAACGGCGGAAAAGTCAAGAGTTCGCTTATTTCGCATTTGGAAGAGGACATTTTGGACTATCTATCTATGGAAAAAAACTGATAGATTGTTATCTCAGTTTCCCGAGATCCGAAGTGCTTTTCCACAGATCTCCTTCCGAATAGTTTCGGAAAAGGGTTTTGCTTATGACTACATAGCTTAAACTGTTTTCTTTCGATTGTTGAAAATCGCAGGTTTCTTTCTTTTATCGTTCTGAAGTTATTCGAAAAAAAAACTGAGTGCATTGAATTTTGGTGCCGATAGTAGGTATATTCGACTGTTGGTTTTTAACCAAAATCTAATTCTTCTTACAGCAAGGTCCAAAGTTCGGATAGCGATTTTCGGCAGAGAAGAGAAAAACAGTTAGAAAAGCACAAAATATAAATTAATAGCACGTTCGCTCTAAAACTGACTCACATTGTTAGAGTGTCACTTCGGCACTTCAAGTGACACTTCGGTCATAAGTGCACATACTTGAAGTGAGATTTTTCCACCGCGATAAATACCGCACAAAAAATAAATTTGCTAAAATTTTTATTGTATAGCCTGGCAGCCAAGACAGAAAGGTGCAGGTGATATGTCCGGACTTGACTTAGCAAAAGTGGATTTAGACCTGGACTGTGATCTAAATTCTTAGATTCATGTTTAAATGTCTATATGTGATACATGATTAAATAGACCACAGAAGACGTTCCACAGGTGTCATAAATTCTTTTCAACAGCTGATTATGTAGAACAGAGAAAAGACAGAATTCAAAGCGAATCGAATATATTAACTATACAGAAAACGCTAGGCTTTAGTGACAAGAAATTCTATGAATGTTGGGCTTATAATTTGTAATACTCCAAAGTACATCAGCATAAGCAATATGTCAGTCGTATCCAACATTGTGAAGCTGATTATTTTCATAGTATTCAACAATAGTACTCAGTTCTCCGGAAACTTTTTTCTTTAATCAACTGTTATTAATGATGATGCTGTTCTACAAGTTATTAGTTGTATAATGCTTATCCCAATAGAGAATACTTAAGCTGAAATTCGGTTATATTTGATCTTTTTAGATTCCGTTAAAAAGATTTTGTTTCATTTTATAATCATTACTTTATTATATACATTCTATTTATCATTCTACATCATAATTATTCTAAAAATGGAATCTGTTTCTAACCACCTTTCACATGTTGTGATTGAACAATACTTGAGCAAACATCCATATTATTATTATTATTATTATTCGATCGATTACTAATTATAGATTTGAATTTATCAATAAATAACTGTCGAAATTTTTCGCGAAATGCTTTTGATAATAATATGAAAAAAATAAAATTTGTTGCAAAGTGTATATTCGATACTGTTCTCAAAAAATGATCAATATAATGTATTTTCCATACGTAACTGATTGAATTTAATCGTTCTGGATATGAACGTTTGACCCATACATTATAAATCCACAGTAGACGATATGGTAATGTTAGAACAAGATAGGAGACGGCAACTGATACTAGCATTATAGTTATTGTACGATCACGTGAACGGTGTCTATTTATAAAACGTTTTTCTTGTGCTTCATCAATTGTAACATTATTATAGACAATTTCGTGATTAATCATTATTTTGTCAGTTTTTGAGCGTTTCAGAGTTGTGCCAGTAAATAATAAACGTTTTTGAAGATATGGTAATAAAGCATGTTATTGTTGCCGTTTTAATGACATTGATAAGAGAATAACTGGTGCACATATGGGCTCTTGAATACCAATTGATAATTTTGACTTTTGTTCTTTATAAATAATAAGATTCTTTTTATCAAAATGTTTGACAGGATTTGCTATGGAATACGTTGATAGTGTATGTCGCTGATGTAATCTTATAATGATCATTATGTTCATACGGACTACAACTGTTAAGGGAATAATATGTAAGACAATTAATTATAAAAATATCCGTAATATCGTAAATACGTTCATGTCGATGGTTATAATAACAACGTTTTCAAATAACCAAATGTGTATGTTCAATATTTTTATGTAAATTAAACAAGTATGCATCGGATGACATAACCGGTCGTAATTCGTGAAAAAATATTGGAATATATGATAATAATATTGATGTTACTGTTATTATGGCAATACGTCGAAAGGATTTTAAATTTTGACGATGAAAAACAGAGAACAACAGATGTTGAAGGTGATTGTGTTTCGATGACTACTGCTATTATTATAAGTACGACGATTATTATTATTATGTTTGTTATTATTATTAATTAAAAATGGACCTAGATTTGGACCCCCTGAACCTGGACTTGTTACCTGGACATCAGGTCCACCGTGTGAAAAAAGTCTGAGAGTAGTGTGAATTTGTAATATGCTGTACTAGAGTTCGAGGAGAATTCTTAGCATATATGAGAAACACAAGACAGATGCATTGAACAAAGGTGTCTTTAATTGATAATGTTATTATGACTTTGCATATTTTTCCCACCGTTTCCACAGAAAGAGGACATGTATATGAAAATAATCATCTTCACAATGTTGGATATGACTGACATATTGCTTATGCCGATGTACTCTGCAGTATTTTAAATTATAAAAATAAATTAAAAAACTGCTAAATTATAAATAAACAAAAAATTGCTAGGTCAGGTCCGGACATATGACCTGCACGTTTTAAGATTATCAGAATGTGGGACGTGATGTGAACAACAGCAATCCCAGAACCAGTTAGAATTTGTTTTAGGATAAAATTAAATCTAATTTCTATCTATATCGATCGCATCACTGAGAGTCGTTGTCATCAAAATAGTTTTCCTCTTAGCGTTTTCCTTTATGAGTGAGTCTAATTAGCGATCTTTAACAAGTTTTTTCTTAGTGAGGTAACGTATGTTTATATTTTTAGGCTTGAGAAGTGTTTCGAAATTCCGAACTGGATGATTATTTTCGTCGTGGAGTAAATGATGAATGTTTGTTGACTGTAGATTTCCTTATGTTAAAAGCGCAGTTAAGTGAAGAAAAAGAATACAAAAATTTGTTTCTCTTGTAGAACATTCTTTTTCTTAT